AGGCAAAGAGCGAAATTCCTGCCATTTCTTCTGTCCCGGGGTGCCTGCACCCTGGCTCAGTGAGCAGCGCACAGCGCAGAGGACCCGCCGTGCTAATGGAACCTGACGGATTATGGAAACCAGACATCGAAGGTTTACACATACTGCAGGCCCCATAGAATTAAACCGCAAACTGTAGACGGCCGACAGGAAGCGCCTCTCCGTAAAGCAAACATACACGTGTTTTATGGTAGCCTTTTACCACTTCATTTCGGGGGGCTTTTGGTGATCTGAAATTTCAACATCGCTTTGCCTAATTTCCTCTTGCTTTTCCGCACCTCCCGGCGTCGCAGATTTAAACAGGCGATACGTCTTTATTCAGCCATGTAAATAGTTTCGGAGTCACAATAAAAGTTGACTCTCTTTGACAGCAGCTGTGTGCGGGAGATATATGGCGCCCCGAGCCCACAGTGGTCCTTGTGATGGCCAGCTGTTTCTGAATGCAGGTCACATGGACCCAGCTCCTCGTAAACTGCAGCTGCAGTCTCACCTGGGCCGCCGTGATGCTTTGTGCCGACTGGGGGGTGATGGGGGTTGGGGAGAGGCAAAACAAGCATTCTCTCGCCATCAAGCTTGTTTGACGTTGTGTGACAGTAAAAGCCCTCAGTCAGAAAGCTGTAAATTTAAAGGGCTGCCGTAGCCAATTTGGGCCAATATCAAATAGCCTTACCTTCCAGCATTGCTATAGTGTTATAACATGTTGCTTTTCATTAGGGGGGGGAAAAAATGCTGAAGGCAAATTCTAATGCGATGAAATCTCAATCTCAAAAAGGGAAATTGGAGACGTGGGTGTGTTTGGAACAGAAGGCATCAGAAATGGAGAACAGTGCTGGAAAACACCAGTGGGTCCTGACCGAAATATTGCATTGCGCTATCTGATATTTAGTCCAAAACAGCTACGTCATCAGGCCATGTTTTTGAGCCTGTGGATCAGATATGTGCCCTGTCTTAAATTCCAATTTAAGTCCTAATCTGCCTTTTTTTTTTTTTTTTTTTTTATATTTTATATTTTTTTTATATAATATATAGAGCAGCAGAAGCTGAAAAATCCCATTTGCTTTTATATTTATATTGCAACAGACACTTCCAACATTATCCTTCTTTCATGACTGTAGAAATATGGTCAAATGTCATGACCCCCCCTAAAGCTGCCTGGGACTTCTTGTCTTACAAGTAGGCCAGAGACACCAGGGAAGGGGAGCTAAGGTAGTGTATTCACCCCTGGATCCTACAGATGCCGACTTGACTGAAGCTGTAAACAGGCAAAGGCCTACGTTTGGAGGTTTCGGGAGGGAGGTCAGCTCACTCTCTCGGGGACACTGTCGGGACAGGCAGCCGACCCAAGCTCCCACCTCGACCCACAGTTCACGGCTAGCGGCACAGTCTGGCTCGCAGAGGCCACATTTTAGCTCTGCCAGAGCCTCCCTGGACTTGTATCTTGAGTCACTGGGCCCTCGTGGATTGCAGACTGACAGGCTGGGAAACCGCATACAGTGGATGCCATTGACATAGAACTGTCGAGCCAGCCAGTAGAGACTGGCACTAAAACAAGGGGGGGAAAAAAACGATGTTAAGGAAGATAAAGCTGTCCACATGGGAAGGCTGGACGGGATAGTCCCAGCATTGTTCAGGGGTACAGATGGTGTTCCATATGCACTCACCATCTCCATGGGCACAAATGTTACCAGTTTATACGTGAGAAAAGCTTTTCTGATATTGTTTATACATATTCTAAAACGAGCATTGTTTATTTTCATGCTATTTCTCTTTCTTTCTTACTTGAGTAAAATTATTGCAAAATATGAGGAGGATTTTACCATTTTGTCATCAACAGTATATGTACTGGTCTTGTTGAAGATAATATGCCATTGTATCATCTTTGATTCATTACAGATGTTTGATATTTCTCAACACTGCAGCTGCATTGCTCTTATCTGATGTAAACTTTGTGAAAGTTTTAAATCAAATATGGTTTAGTTGTTTTGTCACATTATACAGTAAATATTCCCTCTGTGAGCTCTGCCTACAGAATATCTATATCCCTAAAAAAGAGGATTGAAAATCCAGTCCTACTGAGCATGAGAATCGCACTTTGGATTGAAAAAAGACTGAACTACATGGTTGCAACTTCAAAAGGAAATTGTCTTTTCTGTTAGCGTGCAGATGCAAACTTGTCATTTCCAGAGGTCTTGTTTTTGCCTTTGTGTTCTTTTCATGTAAACACACTGTGAATATTTTTTTTTCCCCTGTCAGGATGTTTTTGTGTCCTTTTGGTTGTTGGGATTCTGTGTAAGTGTGCGTGGAATGTGAGGGCAAGATGATGCAGTGACGTCAGGGCAGAGTGCACTGCTGTCCTCCCTCCCGTCGGTTCTGCTCGGCCCGGCCACCCCTCCCCTGGAGGAGTGAAGTAGTTATAAATGCGTCCGTCAACGCGGGCCCCACTTGCCAAGCCAAGTATTTAGGTTGGAAGTCCTACCTCCTCAACTGCTTGAAAACAGGAAGTATCTCTGTTAAGTGATGGATGACCCTGCTTCACTGAGAGGAAGAAAAGGCTTTCTTTGCCTCTGGGCAGTTAAATGAGTTCTGCAGTTGTTCACTGACTTTAAGTGTGTGTGTGTGTGTGTGTGTGTGTGTGTGTGTGTGTGTGTGTGTGTGTGTGCGTGTGCGTGTGCGTGTGCGCGCGCGCCTGTGTGCGCGCGTGTGTGTGCGTATGCGTGCGTGTGCTTGAACAGAATTTCAACTGTTGGTATCATTGACCTACCCATCACATTAAAATTGCACAGAGAGTACACTGCTGTCATATTTTTACAATGTAGCCCTCTACACTAAAACATTTGGATGCTCATCTTTCAGGTGACTTTAAGTTATCAGATTCCAAAAGTTCCACAATAAACATAACAAACATACTCATTTTATTATTCGCTTACTCTTTTTACACAATCCGACCCTTGGATGTGAATCTCAAACAGACTGTATCGTTTTTGGATATATGCAGTGCCTTTCTGAGGAATTCTGTACAGTTCTAAGCCTTGATGCGATTACTGTAACCTGGGGACTTAATCTCAGCCTTAAGAGAAATTTATGTGGTATGCTTCTGTGTGTGTTTATTTCATCCTTCTTCCAGTTAATGTGCTTTGTTGATCACTGATGTGTATCGTCAAGTAGTAAAACAAAGAGAAGCAGTATTGTGTGTGGAATGTGACAGTAAGATTGTTTATGGAATGAAACTCCATTAACTGTGTTTAGGACAGCTGGTGATGTTTGGTAGCAGAGTTTGTTTTTCGTGTTGTGAAACTGAAAACCCTAAAGAACGTAAGTGGGGAAACTTTGCTTGGGGTGGCCGGGTTCATGATGCCGATGTGTTGGCCCGACCCGTCCACTGGAGAGCAACACAGGATGTGTCCCTGGCACATACGCAATGGAACAAGCCTCGTCCCTGCACCGCCCATTCCCTCTACGGTGGCACATACCGTCCGGTGGGGGGGTGGGCAGGGATGAGAGAAAGGGCATGTTCCCACGTAATCCCAGCCACACGCGAGGCCCGGTTTGTCAGAGCCGTTTCCAGGATCGCAGATATCGTTTTGACTGCCGCCGCTTGTTTTTTTTCGGGCAGACTTTTGAGGATGTTGTTTGGCCTGCTTGCATTCTGTCCCGCCCCCCCTCCCCCCCCATGCTAGAATGAGATCATGGTCATAAATACAGCAAGCCGAGTACATGCTCTTTCTTGGGGGTGTGAGAAAACTCTCTCCCTCCCTCACTCCCATGGGCGAGCTCTCTTTCATCGAGGATGTGACAGGGCTATGTCAGGTCAGGGTTTTGTCGGCAATTTCTTCCTTTTTTTTTCTCCCCCACACACACACACACACACACACACACACACACACACACACACACACACACGCACACATACTTTTCAAGTGACCCATCGGGTCAGCCTGGGAGTGTCAGCAGTGACATGACGTGGGATAAACAGCCTTCCGAAGGATCACTTCCATCCCTGTTTCCCTAAAGCGGAGGTGAATGGTGGAACTGATCGTGTCACCTGGGGGCCAAACTGGCTGGCCCCTGAGTCACAGAGGCCCATTCTCAGGAGCCTGTGGGCAGGCTTTTCAACTGTACATTTGCAGTCCGGGCTAACAAACCCCTCTGGGCCCATTTGGAAAGTCAGAGAGGCAGAATTGGAGGCGACTATAAGAGAAGTCCATGATTGTTTCACTTCTTTGAGGGGACCTTGCTCTTGTTGGGATTGTCGCTGACTGGAAAGCATCATGTCTGTGGTGGTACTGCGTTTGACTGCAAGTATGCAAGTTTGACTGAACAGAAGTGTGTTCCAGTTTCCATTATGGTGGGATCTTTGATTACTGTTAAAAGTAATAATAAATTATAAATAATGAAAACAATACTTGCTTATAAATACTGCATCAGATCAATAAAAAAAATCATGTAAAGAGCTCAGTTTAGGAGAATCAGTCACTGTAGGAATGGAATGGAGTGGAATGGAATGGAATGGAATGGAATAGAATGGTGGGCTTGCCCCCTTCTGAGTGAAGCTGAGTTCATTCATTCAAACTCGACCACAAAGCAAGAGTAAGGGAGCATGCACCACCGCCCCTCTGATAGAGCCCTCCACTACTGCGCCCCAAGACCGTCCTCCCTCAGGGTTTGTCCGGAGTTTATTTTCCACTCAGAATAAATCCTGAGCATTAACACAATCACGCGGCCGGCATTTCTCCCAGAGAATCAGAGGGGGCGCTCTAAGCAGACCCTGCTGGGTGGGTAACCTGTGTCCTCATCCTTCACCAGTTAACCTGGGATAACATTACCTAGCCCTGTGCTAACTTGTTGTCATTACATTACATTATTGGCATTCAGCAGACACTCTTATCCAGAGTGACTTACATAGGTTCAGTTTTTACAATGTTTTCCGTTTATATATCTGTCAGTAAAAAGCTTTTGTGAGCAGCAGTGTAGCATAGTGGTAAGGAGCTGGGCTTGTAATCAAAAGGTTGCTGGTTCGATTCCCCACTGGGGCGCTGCTGCTGTACCCTTGGGCAAGGTACTTAACCCACAATTGCCTCAGTAAATATCCAGCAGTATAAATGGATAACATGTAAAAATTGTAAATGACAATAATATGATGTAATATAAATGCAATGGCACTGGAGAAACAAGGTATCCAGGAGTGTTGTTGAGTTCCCCTCCGGACGGTGGGAGAATTCGGCTGTCTCCTGTGCAGTGTCTTCTGCGTGTCTGAGTCTGACCCCCTCTCCCAGCCGCCACAGAGGTGGACGCTCTGACCCCCCTCCCCCAACAGGCTCTGATGCGCCCGGGACGGCTGGACCGCATCGTCTACGTGCCCCTGCCGGACGCCGCCACGCGGCGGGAGATCTTCAGCCTCCAGTTCCGCAGCATGCCCGTCTCCGGGGACGTGTGCCTCGACGACCTGGTGATCCGGACGAAGAAGTACTCCGGAGCCGAGGTGAGCCGGCCCCAGGGACTGTGTGTGATGTACAACACTGATGGAGGAAAAAATGCCCATTTTTGCAGTGATGTGTCAAAACAGGATTAAAAAATCCGTAAAAGTAAATGTTTATTTTTAAAGTTAAAAAAAGGTACTTCTTTGATAGGCTTGCCACCTAATGTGTGCCCCTTATGGCAAGCAGCAGACTGACTCCCTGACATGTGCTGTTAGTTGCTGCTGAGTGCTCTGTGGCACTTGTCCCAGATTATGCAGAGATCTCTGAGGTGGTGTTCATGGATGCTTCCCACTCAGTTTCATTATTGATATTGGGGTTATGTGTTGCTTTCCACTGGTTTGCAGCTTTTAACCTTTGTGAAAAGGAGATGTGTCCAGTATGAGTGGAGAGCCAGTGTTTGTCTTTGTGGGGTGACTGTGTCAGTATCAATGTCCTTGGTGTGGTGACTTACAGTGTCAGTGTCCTTGGTGGGATGACTGTGTCTGTGCTACCGTGACGTCCTTGTGAATTTAGTCCCAACTCAGAGTTGGAGTGCAGTTAAATGTCACTTTGGGGACTCCCAATGTGACATTTCTGTTTCACAAGTGGAATGTGGTGATGTATCTGTCTTAAAGGACATAAGACTCAATCAGCCTTGACTTAGACATGATACGTCGTTAGATTCAATCAGGCAATGTTTCCACGTTAGTTTAATATACTAAAAATGTATTTATGATTTTTGATTCAAATGTTTTTGAAGATTGATAGGATCACACTCTGCTTGGAGGTTGGGGGCATTTATGGAGTTTAAAAATCAGCTCTTCATAATAACTTTTAAGCACCAGTGTTAGATCTTGTTTATCTTAGTTTTTAAACCCCACAACTTAAGTCAGAACATGAAAAATGTCGCACTGAAGAAGAATGTCTCCGAGTGAGTGTTCAGATGTTGTGAAAGCTCACTGCTGGGGGGGCAGTGTGAGTTCTGTAGTCCTGCTGTTTAGTGATTTGTGGGTGCTTCAACAAAGGGGCAAAAGGTCTCACCCCCCATGCATATGGAGACTTTGGCGGAAAAAAAGTATGTTAATGAAAATTACAATATAGGGTTTTATTGAAGTTGCACAGTCTTTAGAAAGCTGGGAAGCTCTCCAGTTTGTGTGATATCTGACTTCATTTCCCCTCCCCTCTTGCACAATCGGGCGCTAACCTCCTGCTGGAAGCGCTCGTGCTAGACTGTCCTCACTCCTGTATTCCCTCCAGAAGCCCCCTCTCGGTTATGTAACAGCCTGAACATCAAGTGTGCCTAAAGCACTCATTACCATAATTATTTCAAATGCTCATGACTTCACCAGCCGGCATGAGTCTCCATATTCTGCTCCAGAATATGCCCCTGCATGCCGGCCTTCCTCCGATTCTGCCTTATTTATCCACAGTAAGAGGCAAAGGATTGTGGGTAAAGAGGGTGTTTCACCGGGTGTTGAATATGCCCCTGCATGCCGGCCCCTCCTCCAATTCTGCCTTATTTATCCACAGTAAGAGGCAAAGGATTGTGGGTAAAGAGGGTGTTTCACCGGGTGTTGAGCTGTGTGGAATTTGGAATTATACGGTTTTACGTGCTCTCTGCTTTAGATGGCTAGTTTGCGAGAAATTGGAGGGGGGGTCGTGCTGGGGTGGCGGCAAGGCGCGGCCCGCCGGGGGAAATCGCAGCCCTGTGTGGCGTGTGCTGCGGTAATCAGGTACCAGGCCGACCCATGTTCTCAGGTGGTTCAATCCCCTTTTAATCAACTGAACCCCAGGGGGGGGACTTTGTGCATAGGAGACCCACTGCCCCATCTGCGGGAAGAGTGTCACATTGATGAACTCGGTTCGTGAAGAGCTGAAAGACTGCGCTCATTGTTTCAGGTGCAGGTGTGGGAATGCCCCCCCGCCCAACCCCCCCATCCCTGTTTGGGATTGGCCAGGACTGCCGGGAACGGTGGGGTGGTGACATTTAGGCCTAATCGAGACTGAAAGCTGGCTTCAGCCTTGGCCTCCATGCTGTTGCCTCTCCCCGGCGGTACAAATCCACAGGGCCCTCACTGTGCAAGACGCGCTCCCTGAAAGCAGCTTAGAGCCGGCTCACACCTGGCGCAGGTATGCTGCAGAAAGCGATCCGGTGGGATTGTGTGTTACGTTTTGTGTTTAGGATTTCGTATCACCTGTTAGTGGAGCGTCTGTTATTTCTAATACCGCAGTAACTCGGGAAGCAGCTGATGCTCTTACACTTTGACCCCCTACCCCCGGTTTAGATAATCTGCTGCCGCTGTGAGATTTAAGGGGCAAAGCTTTGAATGACATGTTTGTAAAGTCAGTGAGAATGCACTGTGCGGAGTCCTTCTTTGTGAGTGCTGGCTTGCTGATTTTAAGCTGAAGTACCCCGCTCGAGCCAGAGGCCCGTGAAAGAGGACCACAGGTTTTTATACTGGTTTTTATACTTTTGCTGCTCGAGAATATAATAATTTTGAGATCTGTTATTAGTGTTGCATAGTATCAACTATCGACCCATATTGATTCGGAAAACATTTATCTGATTACGTGTGAATCTCTTGCAAAGATTGCACCCGGTGCCTGCAGAATAACATGCGATATTCCCGGCCTTTCGGTCCCGGTCGGGCCGTGTTGGAGAGCCCTGCACGGGGAGCAGTTAAACTCTGGTATTTGTTTTGGCAGGACGCTGTCCTGCAGCACGTTTCGAGCGCCCGTACCATCGCGCGCGGGCGTGGGCCGTATATCAGCCCCGCGCTCGTAGGAAGTGAGCACGATGAGTGGTCCTCGTAAATCTCTGTCCTCTTATTGAAATTGGAGGCCTATCCACAGGCTAGGGGAGCAATCATCATATTTCCATCAGCAGCTCCGACTCGACTCAAGCCACGCCGCTGAAACGGAGGCTCCGACTTTAACTCTTTTCCTCCCTGCTGCGCCGAGCGGGCTCTGAAAAACCAGGCAGGGACTTTAGGTTGTTCACATTATTTACTTGCTCTGCAGACGCTCTCGTCTGAGGTAAATTACACAGCTTGCTTTTTTTTTTTTTTAACATACTATCCGTTTATGCAGCTGGATGTTAACTGAGGGGATTGAGGTTAAGCAGAATAGCAATGCCACACACCGGGGGATGGAACTGGCAACCTTAGCTACGACGTCACACTGCCACCTTAGGGCCTCTGGAGAACGTGGTGATCTTTTTTTTTTGCTTTCTCAGTCACAGCGGCCCTCTTCTTTGGCTGAGAGAATCCCAGACCAGCAGATTCCCAGAGAGGAAATTTGGGCCTGGCTGCAGAAAGCCTCCAAACTGCAATTTGTGGGCTTGTTTTTCATCGGGCTGCCTCGGCCGCCCGTCTTGTCAAACGGAGGCATCCGCAGTGGGGGGCGTGACAAACTGGCAGATCCGGGGTCAGCTAATGCAAGGTCCTCGGCGCTCCTACCTGGAGCACAAAATTTTAATTGCATTCCTGAGTATATGGACCCGCTCGGGAGGCGCGTTTGTTGTCAGCTCCAGGCCAAAAGCTTGTTAAAATCAGCTCTTCCTCTGCAGCAGGAGCCAGCCGCCATTGCGACATCTGGTTTCCAGAGTCAGATCTCTTCCCCCCTTGCCTGTCCAAAAAGCAACACTTGATACCGTAATTGCATTGTGTTGTCATAAAGAGGGGTAGCTGCCGGGAAGATAATGCTTCTTATTTTCTGTTTTATGATCAAGCCCTGGCAGGTCTAGCCCCCCCTGATTTATGAACCTGAGCCTCTCGCAGGCATGCTCAGAGAGTAGCCCTCTCCATCCCATGGGGTCCTGCCGCTCGTCCTGTTTGAAAATGGATTTTAATTTTAAAAAAAAAGGCTGTAATTGCTGGGATCCGGCAGGTTTCCGTCACGGGTGGTGACACCCCCTCAACTGTCAACAGGAAGGCCCAGGGGAGATTTCTTGCAAACCTCTGCACCCTGGAGGATTGTGGTTATTCTGCCCCATGTCCTTGTCTGCAAGGTAGCTCCATTGTAGGAACGGTACAAGGTGAGATGCCAGTGATCGCACAAACATTGTGGAACAGTCGTGTGTTTGCAGCCCAGTCTCCAGGAACCATGGGGACTAACAGTCTCTCCAGCTAATGGCTGTTAAATGTAGCATGAAATCCCATGCTGTCCATCAGTTTACGATGTTGCATTATCACCAGGTGAAATTAATCCATAGGTAAGTGCTCTGGTATCTTAAAGGGTCACATGTACTGCCGAGCAGTAGTCTCGGTGTGCCAGTAATTCTAAACTACTGTTGGATAGAATTTTCTACTGCCAGAGCACTGTTTTAAACAAGACAGTTTTGTTCATTTGATCCTCTTTATTTTTTTTTTGCAATATCACTCACAGAGCTTAGTTTAAGCAGAAAGGTATGTTTACCTTTCCTTTTAGTGCTGCTGAGCCCAAACCTGAGAAGGATGTCTCCTATTCTGACTGTGATGCACAGTTTTATTCCGAACATAACTGCTGTGCATTTTATCTTTTACCCTCATTGATTAATATTGTTGGTGTCCTTTTCCATGCAGGGCGTATTCCTGT